AAAACATCTCAGTTTGTGGGTAGTTGCTTAGTTTGTTGTTGTTTAGAAAAACTGCTCTTGTTGATTAAAGCGAATTCGTGGATTAGCGTTCTTTAGCTGTTTTGAATTACATTCTATTGGACATTTGAGTAGTTAAAAGATAACTACTGTGAGATATTGTAATACTGCATGATAATTTGAGAAAATTTAAGCATTTTTGTTGTGATAATAATAAATTTTTGTTCAATTTTCATCGGACTTGTGCATTCATTTCATAACGAACCCGTACGAACGCAACAATTTTGGTGTGTCAGGAGTGGGATTTGAATGCCAATAACAAGAGCGATGGAAGAGCAATAAGGCAGTTATATCCCTTTGCCTCTTTAAAGAGAAATTAAGAGGAAATGAATTGGGCCAGGAATCTGTTAAGGACGAAATGAAAGCCGTTCAAGTCTGGCAAGGAAAGATTGAGCTGTCAAGAGAAATGAAAAAGAGAAATTACCTGCATAATAGAAAATTAATTTGAAGCTATGGAAGGCAGAATTGACACGTTGAAAATAAAGTTGACAAATTGAAGAAAAAGTTTCTTTCGTACAAGATCAATTGAAGAAAGGTTTCTTCGGTGAAAAAAATAGAAAAAGAGTTTCTTCTGTAAAGAACATATAGAAGGAGAGTTTCGGCTGTGGCGGAAAATTGAGGAAGAGTTTGTGCCGTCCAACCCCAAATCGAACAACAAATTGATGAGAGTTTCGGCATTGCCAAAGAAGAATCTTTAAAGAAATTCGTAGCGACGGCAGGGAGCAAGAGTGATGATTTTAAATTCTTACCGATGCTTGCTCGTCATCTCTGAAGCTATCCACATATGATGGGAAGAACATCCTGGCAAGTGTACAAGACCCAGTTTTATATCATTGCGGAGCGAATGGATGGGATCCCAAGCTAAGGCAGCCGACGCAGCGGAATCCTTCAGACTCTTCCCGAAAACAAAAGGTAGATATCGAAGCTCTGTCCGCGCCCTTGGAGTGCGCTTTGGGAGAAGTGTTTTAAAGACTACAACAGGCTCCAATTAAAATCTCGTCAACAGAAGCCTACGGAAACACTTCAGGAGCTCGCCACGGATGTTGAAAGGCTGTCCCATCTCGCCTTTTCGGAATGCCCGACAGAAACAAGGGAAATCCTGTCCTTGCAATACTTTATCGACGGCATCCGGGATACTGAAATACAAAAAGCTCTACGAATGGCGGATGTAAAAGATTTAAAAAGCGTTCTAGTGTACGCCATGAAATTCGAAGCAGCCTAGCAAGCCACTCGTCGAGACCGCCACCCAGTCAGAGCTGCTCAAGTCCAGGAGCCAGGGGATAAAGTCACCGCTCGTCTAGACGATTTAACTAGACAACTGAACGCCTTGAGACGGAATATTGGTGAAAAGACACCGACCTTTAAGTGTTGGAACTGCTGTGCTGAAGGACACATACGACGTAACTGCAGAATACCCCAGGGTACGGATGTTAAGACCGCTTCTAACAAGTAGCAGGGAAACTAATTAGTGGCCATCTCGCGGGGCGGAGGTTGCCAGATAATGAAAAGCCCCAGTTTAAAGCGCTTCAGATTTCTGCAGTAAAAGGCGGCAGTAATGGACTTTTCATAATAGGACATATTAATGGAGTTCCCTGCAATATGACGATAGACACAGGAGCCAACGTTACCATCATCCGAAAAGATTTGGCTGAACAACTGGAAGCAAACTTATCTGGACGCCGCCCTGCGTTTACCCTACAGACTGTGTCCGGTGAGAAGATCGACATCAATGGGAAAGTAAATGTTACCATCACGTTGGAAGGCCGCTTACCATCACACGGCATATGTAGCAAGATCACTGATTCTTGCATACTCGGATTGGACTTTCTAAGGAAATACATTTTTCCTTGGACTTTAAAATAACGAATTGCATTCTGCGTCTGAGGACATAACATTATTTGGAATTAATAATGAAGAAGTTAAATCTGTCCACAGAATCATAGCACAAGACAATATCACAATACCGGTAAGAACAGAAATTTTACTCCCTGGATCTATAGCCGAAAACAGATTTCCGCTACGGCATCACAGAAATCCCAATAATCGAATAGCCCAAGAAGTACTAGTAGCCTCAACACTCGTCGACATATCGAAAATGGTTATCCCGGTGAGAGTGCCAATGTAAATGAGAAGCGAGAGTTATTAAGAAGGCGACGTGGTTGCAGCATGACTCGAGTAACCAGCGTTTAAAGAAGAGCAATATCCAGAATCCGTGACCTCATCAGAAAACATTACATCGGAGTTATTGCAGAATACGCAATTGAACGATGAAGAAAAATGCTGCCGATCGCGTCATTAAAGATCTTCAAGCTGTTTACTCCCCTCGTCTTCTGACGTGGGTCGAACTAGTTTGACACACATAGAATAGATACCGGGCGATCATCCCCCGATCAAGCAACATCCAAGACGTCTACCTTGCTAAACAGGAAGAGGTGCGAACACTGTTAAAAGATATGGAAGAAGGCGATGTCATCGAGCCTTCAGCGAGTTCATGGGCATTTCCCATCGTTCTCGTCAGAAAGAAAGACGGTTCAACAAGATTTTGCGTTGACTATCGCCGGTTGAATGAGGTTACGAAGAAAGACAGTTACCCTCTTCCTAGAATTGATGACATTCTAGACACTCTTTCTGGAAGAAAGTGGTTCTCAACACTATACCGGAAATTCGAATCGGATGATGGGAAGACGTTCCGATGGCAACTTATACTTCCAAGATCCCGGATTTCTGATGTCCTTAAAGAACTACATAACAGCCCTACAGGAGGTCACTTTGGAATTATGAAGACCTCACAGAGAGTTCGTGAGCGCTTTTACTGGAATAATGCAAAGGATGACGTGCAAAAGTGGTGCCGATTTTGCGATGCCTGCACAGGTCGTAAAGGACCGAGAAAACGCAGCCGAGGCAAGCTGCAACGTTACAACGTAGGGGCGCCTTTTGAACGTATCGCCTTTGACATCCTGGGACCTCTGCCGCGAACTGCTGATGGCAACAAATACATACTCCTTGTCATTGATTACTTCATCAAGTAGCACGAAGCTTATCCTGTTCCTGATCAAGAGGCGGTGTCACAGTAGCTGAGGTAATGATACAGCACTGGATTTCCAGGTTCGAAGTGCCTCTTCAGTTACATTCCGATCAGGGAAGGAATTTTGCCTCGGCAGTAATCAAAGAACTATGCAAACTACTCGGCGTTGACAAAACTCAAACGACGCCATTGCATCCCCGTCGGACGGCATGCTAGAGAGGTTCAATCGAACCATCCTTAATAACCTCTCATTAGTGGTTTCCTCCAGAAACCAACAGGACTGGGACAAGAAATTACCACTCTTTTTACTGGCTTACCGCAGTGCTGTCCACGAAACTACCGGCTATTCTCCATCACAGATGCTCTTCGGTCGTGATCTTCGTCTGCCTTGTGATCTATGTTTGGCCGCCCTCCGGATGCTCCTTCATTCGTCTGAGGAATATATTCAAGATCTCCAGGCCCGGTTTGAAGTGATGCACAACTCTGCACGAGAGCGAGTCAACTTTGGGCGACAGAGAAGATGAAGACCCGCTACGCCACAAGAGCTAGTGAACATCAATTCCACGAAGGAGACAAGGTGTGGTTGTGGAATCCGACTCGACGGAAAGGACTTTGTCCGAAATTACAGTCACCTTGGAATGGTCCGTACATACAGTCCTAAACAGGCTGAATGACGTCGTGGTTCGGATCCGTAAGTCTTCGAACTCTGAAACCTAAAGTCGTTCATTACGACAGGTTAGCTCATTACTACCACCTGGCCACAGTATGTAGTGTAAATAATTTATGTATAATATGTATGTAGTGTAAAGTATAGTAGTGTAAGTAATTCCACAGTATGTAGTGTAAATAATTTTAAATAGTATAAGACCATGGTCCTTTTTGTTTCTTAATGTGTATTTTATTTGACTTTGTATTTAGTATTTGAGTACATTAATAGCATTTGATTTGTTTAAGTTAGTTATTGCATTTATTGTTTACATGTTGTTTGATTATTGTAATGTAATGTTTGCTTATTAATGCATTTATGCCACAGTTGTAAGTTTAGCTTCCTGTCCAGGGATTGTACTGCCGGGACAGTGCAGTCCTTGGGAAGGGGCAGTGTACGAATTTGGTATTTAAAAGCTAATGTTAGTTCAATTATAAATTAAATGGTTTTCTTTCTCGCGCAGTGCAGTGCGCGTGACGAATATTAAAAGAAAGCTAAGCCGGAAAATTGAAAATACAAGAGCGCGTGCATTAAATAAATAAATATCTCTTTTGATTTCGAGAAAGTACTGGAAAATTCTAGCGCGTGATTTTAAAATCTTATAAAAGGAGGAAAACATCTCAGTTTGTAGTAGTTGCTTAGTTTGTTGTTGTTTAGAAAACTTGCTCTTGTTGATTGTAGCGAATTCACGGATTAGCTTTCTTTAGCTGTTTTGAATTACGTTCTATGGACATTTGAGTAGTTAAAAGATTAACTACTGTGAGATATTGTAATACTGCATGATAATTTGAGAAGATTTAAGCATTTTTTTGTTGTGATAGTAATAAATTTTTGTTCATTTTTCATCGGACTTGTGCATTCATTTCGTAACGAGCTCGTACGCACGCAACAGTATGTTTATTATACTATTAACATTTTATTTAGATGTTTGAAACTATTCTTTAATGTTCTAATGAGAACATATGCACTTATATGGTTTCATATACACGTATTGATATTATACATACACAAAAAGTGTGCGTATGTTAAAAATGAGAGGGTGAAGTTACTTTGCGGTTTTTCACTTATCGCAGCCGATTCTTGTCCCTATTAACCGCGATAACTGAAAGAATGACTGTATTTACCAAGAAATAATAAGCTTAATCGGAGCTCACGAAACTCGCTGCTGCATTGATCCGGGCATGCTGCAGCAGACGTTTACAAATCATGCAGCTAGGCATCACAACACCTGTAGCCGTGCTTCAACGTTGTGCTAACACTCGAGAGATCACTGTACGATCCGTCACAGTCATACGGAGGAGGTCTCGATACGAAAGTCCACCCTCTCGCATACCAACGATTCGGCCTCTTTCGAATTCCATTAGTTGCTGGTATGGCATCTTCCGCTGTTGACGACGTATATTGACAACTAATTAAACGTTCACCGCTGACACAGGACGATAAACAGATTTCAACCACTCCAACTCCAATTACCGTTGGTATGCCGCGATTTTCTTGCAAGTATTTCGGCTGCCTCGAAGTGGTGTTCCACTGTGGGTCTGGAGGTAGACTGATACCTAAGCTGAGTCCAAGAAGAACTTTCGAATGTGTAGAAAGGGAAGTGACGATGATCATGTGAGCAAGTGGTGACATCGGATTGGCTGGGTCTATTAAAATGAGATTTCAACGCAACTTTACAATCCTTTATATGCATGGAACAAGTGACCGTTTTCCATTCCAGGCATGCGCAAACCCTTTCTAATTCTAATGATTTCCATGTCTTATTTCACTTCACATTTCCTGTAAGTTTGGCCAAATATGCATAATTCTTACATGGTGGTGCAATTATCACAAACATAAGTGTAGATTCTTAGATTTATTTTAAAATTTCACAAATAGCTCTTCTGTATTTAAATTTAACCAAAATATTGATTATAGTAAAATCTTACTGCATTATACTGCGTATTATACATCACAATTATTTCATGCTTAGTATGGAAACAATTATATAAAACGTGTTACTTCAGTATCTTTGAACTAATCACTTTCATTCATTACTAATAAGTTTAGCCTTAGATATCCAAAAATATTCGGAGCATTTTTCTCACAAAAATGTGTTATAACTGATCTTATTTTTAGTTTGGGTTTCCATAAACATTTAAAACAAGTTATCAATGCTTGAAACAATTCTGTGATTTAAAATATATTAAAGGAGAATTAAACATTAGCGAAACCTTTCAGAAACTTCAAATATGTTACTTGAGAAACATTTGAGATGCTCATTCAACATATAGCACCAAAAGAATAAGTTTTTTAATGCTTGTACTGTTATTTAAAGGATATCTTACTATATAAAAAGTTTAGAGTTGATCGAATAACAATAATATTTTGGAACATATTTAACAAGTTATAATACAAAAAGAACAATACTGTTTGAAAGGTATTTCCAAATCTAATTTCTTTTAGTGCAATAGTAAAATTCATAGAAAATAATACATAGATAGAACATACAGAGTTTCATAAAAATGCAATAATATTATTTTGAGCTATTATTTGTGAAGCGAGTAAGCTCGACGTAAAACAGCTTAAAGTAGTGCATTCTGAGTTCAAATCACCGTATTCTTTCTAAACTAAATGTATTACTCAAACTTTACACTTTTATTGCTTAATGATTTCTTTGTTCATATTTATTATAATATTTTTAATAAATCAATTTTTCTCGACTATTTTTACATTAGGCAATGAATCCCAACTGGATTCTGTAGTTCGTACTTTATGCAGTTCTAAAAAGTCTTTATGTGTGTAATGACTAGGAGTAATACCAGACGTTTAAAGAATGTCTAGTAATCTTTAAAACTTAATATAATTTTACGACAGTTATATATGCTCCTAGTTTTAGATTTTCTTTTTAACAAAATGGTCTCTCGAGATTTGAATCCAATGAACGGGCTGGCTGCATGGGCGTTTTCGTTCTTTCCCAATGTGTAACGTGTATAGGAGCCAGTTTCCCTTAAAACGTTTTCCACGATGCCATCGGTCTCCTTAAGTAGATAGCCCTAGAGTGATTTACCGTAATTTAATAAACTAAATCAAACCAAACCTATTCGATAAAACTGTAAAACAGAAACGGAAGTTTTGGTCATTTGAACATGCTCGGATAACTAAAATATTAACACCTACGAATGATCCACCATAGCCTTAAAACTTTTGTAAACCGATATACAAATATTATATATTCTATAAAAATATGTGATGTTTGAAATTACAGAAAAAATTGCATAGCAAAGATTCTTGTAACTAATAAACACAGTTTTCAGGATGCATTATTAAAATCAAACTATAAACCACTAAACGTAATTTGAGAAGTACCGAGTGAGTTAAATTTGCGTATTGCAAACCGTATTCATAGCTTGAAAGGAAGCTGTCAGAATCCCCGTTTATGCTAAGAAAAATATTAACGAGTATTATGTTTTGATTAACTTCTTAAATACAGTACCCGCCAGAGATTTCAAACCTGAAACCCGATGTGATTTATCGCTACAATGTGGCAGTATTTTAAAATTACAAACATTTCATAAAATGTTAACATCCTATTTGAAAATAATAATGAAATCCCTTCATGAAAGATGCAATATAAGTATTCTATTGCTAATTGTGTTGTTATTAAAAATATTAATTTTATGTTACATTTAATTAAAATTTTTGCTAGATTGGTAAGCCTTATATGGATTATTAAGGAATGTGGAATACTGAGGAAAATATTTAAGAACAAAATAACACTTATTTTAAGTATTAGGGAATATTTGATATATTCTTATATCTCTGTCAAAACATTTTATCACATATTTCCGTCAATTTACACATGGTAACATATGAATAAGAAGCATTTAAGTAAAATGTTATTATTACTTACCTGTTGCCAAGCGGTACAGGAGAGTTGTATTTGGGCACAAACTTGAAAATCCTGGATTCATCAAGTAATCAAAGATAATCCCTTTAGAACTTGCTTCGGAAATACGGTACGTTGTTTCTAAGTTTGGAAAGCACAAAGTAGCTTTTGGATCACAGTAGGTAGACACATTCCCGTTCAAAACAAGTATAAACTCTATTTTTTTCGCAGGTCCTTTAGATTTTGTATTGCCGTGGACAGTGAAGTTAACTAATAAACTCTTTATAGTTTTGCCTAAAAGATTAAAAAGACAATAAGAACATTTAAATTAACAACTATTACTTAAGCAAAAGATTACAAACTACACCCGTATGCAAAATAAGAGAATCTGTACATTATACCGAATTTCTGAAAACCTAATGCACAGATTTTAATGAAATTTGGTATGAATACACATTTTAACAGAGAAAGAGTCTGTCGTTCAAAAGTCATTTTACGTATGCATGATTATCACTGTCATTCAAAAGTCATTTGAAGTATGCATGATTATCTATGAAGTTCCTTCTGCATCGATGTCCCAAAACCAAATGTTTAAAAAACCAGAGAAAATGTGGTATTGAATTGAAAATGAGGCTAATGTGGGGTATGGTCTCCTTTCACAGCCAGTTAGCTCGCGCAGCGTGACGGCATACTGTACAAGAGTTAGTTGAAGTGTTACTGTGCCATTTAATCTCACTCCTGCAGCAAGGCAGTTTTCAACTCCGTGATGGTTCTCGGAGAGGGATGGAGAGATGGATAATACTTCTAACAGTGCCCCAGACATTTTCTATAGGGTTTCTGTCAGGAGATCTGGCTGGCCAATCCATGCGGTGAATATCCTCACTTACCAGGTAATTGTCGATCAGCTGAGCTCTATTTGGACAAGCGTTGTCGTTCATTAGCAGGACCCAGGACAAACTGCTCCCCTGAGAAGTTGAAGATAGGGCTCTACGATCACCTCTCTGTACCTCAAAAAAGTCAGAAAATCTTTATCAAACACATGCACGTGTGTGCGGCCGTCCAACATTATGTCTCCTCAAACCACTGCACCTCCACAATTTTAAGGATCCTTTTCCCTTGTGAGGGAAGGATGATATTGTTTTCTAGGCTATCTCCAGATATAGGTACGACGAACATCGGTGTTCAGGCTGAATCTGGACTCATCTGAAAAAGCACAGTATAGTCCACTGAAGTATAGTCCACATGTTGTTTGCACCATGTCATGCTAAACGCGCTCTCTTGTGTGCTGCAGTGAGCGGTACGCAAACAGCTGATCTTCAGGCGTATTCATATCACTTGAAGCCTTCGTGCAACTATAGACTGTGAAACTCGGGTAACAGTGGCACCATACAGCTTACATGAGAGCTCTAAAGTTGTAACAGTCCTGAGTCACCGTGCTGGAAATACCACATAACTATCTTCTCGTTGTGGATCATGGTTAATCTTTTCCAGGTCGTCGCGTTATAGTTCTAATGTCCTGAAATTGTTGTCACAAGTTTCAGACGACACTGGGTATTACATTGAGCTCTGTAGCAACTTGCGCTTTTGATTGGCCTACCTCTAATCTTCCAACAATTCTCCATCTCCTTTCGTCATCCATACGCTCATGGCTACTTATTTTACCTGGTAACTTATAAAATTTATCCAACTCTTGCTAGAAACAAGGCGAATGTCGTGAAGGAGCACCGAGCACACAAATTGCCGAACATTCCTCGTGCGCTTGTATCCCCACTACAATCATTTTTCCGCAGGTACGCATATACGCTTACGTATTCGACATTAAATATTCTGATAATTCTTTGGTGGCATAATTAGTACATTTGGTTCAATTCGTTTCGTAAAAATCGATATAATTTGCAAATTATCTTAATTTTTCACACGAGTTGCATGCATATATACCAGTAGAGGTAAAGAATAAATTATTTTTGTTGTATGTTTCTTTTGTCTAACAGTTGTTTTTGCCAGCAGAAAATATGATAGGTTCTACTGTGATAATGCCAGATCATACATTTTTATGCATACTCAGCAAAAGGTATTCAGCATAGCTGGGATGATTTAATGCATCTAAATATGTATCCCGAAATTTAAGCCCGCAGTTTATCATATGTTTAGATATTTTCAAATTTCAGAACTTTTTGATGGTAGCCAGATTTGAATTCTGTCAGAAACCACGTGGTTCAATGGACAAAAATATTCGCTAAGTAATGGACAAAAAAGAAAAATTCAGCTGTCGAATAAAATGACACGCATGTGATTGATTAGATGTAATTCTGAACTAACAAATAAATTATTTTAATATCACTAAGAAAGGAAAGAGTTGTATATTATTTTGATTCAATATTTGTCCTATTACAAAATTAACATTTAGAAACGAGACATAATGAATTCAGTTGGCTAAGTTTAATAGAATCAAAACAAAATTCCCATTATATCAATATAGCATTTGAAAATTTATTACGCAATAGAAATTACTAAACAACAAACGACTAATATACTTTGAAAATGGAACCAGAGAGCATATTAAGAATGAGAAATTTCGTAAAAGAATTAAATGTGATTCTTATGATCCTGTTTTATTTGTTTTCTTGTGTTTCAATTGCAGATTGAAGCATATGAATGTTAAGAGAAATTTTGTATCACAAAGGTAAGAAATGCAGATGTACTAAATTCAGTTAAAAGTCGAAATTTCTCTCTCTCTTTCTTTCAAAGAACTGAATAAAAATATCTCGCGTAAATAAAACGCAAAATATGGCGGTCATACATCCAAAACAACCACCTCTAAAAGTAACCAGTATTTCGGAGGACATAACTAGACAAATATACTGAGCATCATCAATATTTATGCTCTTTTAAAATGGTCACGTCCAGCAAAAAATTGATTGTATGAAATCATGGGTAATTCTTTTGCTGCATATTCAAAACGTATAACAAACATTCTATAATGTTCTCTTAATTAAAATATATAGTATTAGCTACGTAATAAAATGAAGTGTCTGATAACACAAAAATAGATTATAAAGCAGATTACAAATATAGAAATAGAAATAAATAGAAATAAATAAAATAAATGGATTATAAAGCAGAAAAAGTATTAATTTTAAATTAATTCAGCTAGTCAAAACCTTCAATAACATGCTGCTTGTTTCATAAGGAATTCTTCATTATGGCAATTTAAAAATATTAAAAACAAATTTCTTTATTGGTTTTGATTCGCCAAATTCAAAGGGAGGAATCATATTTCCATATAAAGTTAAATTTTTAACGTTTAAAATGTACTCAATCAACGTACTTATTTAACATTGAAATTCCCCAAAAGATTTTAATATAAATACATCGTTACATATAATTCGCCAAAACTAAACGTATAATAAACAAATATTAGAATAAAATACGCATTTATTTAAATTAAGGCTTGTAAATCAATTAGATTCAAATGAAGTAATAGCATTACGTTTGGAGTTGAGTGAGAAATAAATGGCTGCAACTTACTCTTAAATTTAGTGAAATACTTTCAAGTTCATTCAACCCGCTCACTTTAGTTTTTTAACTGCTAAAAATATGAAATTGAATAAATATGCGTGTACAATCTCGAATTTTCAGCGCCTTACATTTTTATAGTGGGTATTAATAAATATGTAACATAATGTTCAGAAAGAATTATTCTCAGATCGCAGTAACAAATACAACATGAAAATTGCTTGTAGTCTACTTTCAGTTTCCTATCGAATTCCTTTACCGTTTTCATATGAATCAGCATATCAGAATATTCTAGAATATTACTATCAGTTAAAACTGTGGCTGAAGCCTTTTTTTCCTACTACGCTCAACAGATTTTTTTTCACTTTAATTTGTTTTAGAAACTTTTATTATTCGAATTCTTTTACCAATGTTCTATACAACTCTAATAGGCTACCAAATAACACGTTGCACTGAAAGGAAGTAGGAGGTACTTAGTACTTTGCCTAAACGAGGAGAGGGCTTAGCAAGAAAAATAAAGTAATGAAAAACAACGAAGAAAAGAACTTAGCAAGAAAAATAAACAAATAGAAAACAATGAAAATCTTGTTATCTTCTGTTATTTGAAAAGCTGTTCGAAAGCAAATTGCAAAATGTAAAGAACTGAGAAAGTTTGGGAATCACTTGCAATTTGATTTCCTGCATAGCTGTTTAAAGCCAGAGGAAATTTCTCTTCTTTTATTTACTCTTATTATTCTTTTCTTAAATACCCTCCACAGAAGTATAAGGGCAATTCGTTTTCGGTCAGTTTTTTTATCAGGTACAAAGAACAGAAACTGATTTCTAGCTTCGTAACTTAAAATTTTAAAAAGTATTATAACATGCTAACTTTTCGCTCAGTATTTTACAACCTGAATTCTATGCAACACAAACGTCTCAAGATTGTAATGCAAGAAATTTTGATCTCATGGCTTCTATGCCATGTGTATTTATTGTCTTAATACATCGCTTACTAGTAACCAACAAACGGGCTTCATTTTCCACCATCAGACTGAGTTACCGAATTCGTTAAACACAAATACGTCTTGTCAAGCATATTTTGAACCTTTTGTTCTTTGTTATAGTTAATTCAATATCTATTGTTGAATACCCATTATTTGTTCATGTGTGTTGTCGCTCACTTCGGCAAATCGGTGAACAGTGGTTTTACTGTTAATAAATACTATAAGGTATTCAACGACTGATAAACTGTTTGCTCTTTTAGAAAACCCCAAATTTCAGATTCATCAGAAAAGGATTTTTAACTTGCTTCAAAATCTACAGCTGCTTAAGTTTTTCAATGGTTTTTATGTGGGCTAACTGGAATTCAATTCTCTCCTACCGTAGCATGTCGATTGTACTCAGAACATATTTAACCGAGGAGTTTTACAGCCATTGCATTTTCTAAATAGATTTGCGTTGAAAAAAATCAGTAGCCAGCAGAGGTCAACAAAGCCATGTGTTATGTTTAATGAACATGAAATATTTGCCCTACGGGAACTATTGGAAAACCAAATGTAAGAAGACTCCAGTGCCTTGTTTCTCTATGGAAACAAAGCTGTTTGCAAATATTAGGTACTTTATGAAGCAGCGTAACAATGCCCTCAGACATACGACAATCCAACCAACTCCAAACTGATGTTTTCTTGCTATACTAAGAAGGATCGTAATATGTAGTTTTTGTACTTATTAGTGCAATAATAATTTGACTGCAAAATTAATCTAAACTCATTAAGGAAGAAGTCACTGCCCAAATGATT